GCCAGTTTAAGGTAACGAGCTGCATTTAGTCCGGGGTGGTATTTCCAGTCTTCTTTGCTCGTTTCGAACTATAAAGTAGCAATCCAGTGTAAAACTCCCGAGGAACACAAATAGGCCCTCGACCGTGGGGCTCCCAGAAACGGTCTAGACCTCTGTTTGTCCTAGGACGTGACAATTCATAGATCGCTCGGGCGCAATCGATCTCATTCAAACGCGTTTCCACCTCGGCAAATTGCATCACCGTGGCGCAATTCTCCGGACCCAACTCGAGAAACTTTACATACAACTTGCGACATTGATCGAAACTCAACAAGCTGCGTTTTCAGATCAATGTAACTTTGATAGAGCTTGTCCGTCAGAGAGATGCCCAGTGCCAGATCCAACGTTTTTTTGTTGTCGCAACGTTTGTTTGTCGGATCATGACAACGTACGCGTAATACAGCCAGATCTTGGAGAAAGTGAAACGTTTGTGCGGTATGAGTTCCAGACACATTTTGTACACCTCACGGCAACGTTCGATGTCTTTTGTTTCTAGGTTTTCAAAGATGGCATACTTGATTTAAAGGTAGATGTACCTATGCCAGCATTGTTTTTTCTTGGTTGACAAAACTTTAGCGATCGCTTCTTTGTACGTCTTGCAAAACACATTGGGTTTACTTACAAGATAATAAAACCACGTGTTGTAGGTAGACGGATTTTCCTTCACTTTCTGCTCGTGTTGATGCTTCTTCTTGCAGATGACATCCTCGATTCCCAAGCAAACGCCGTATTTTTTTTCGTGAATTGTATAAACCTTGTATAAGCCTTGTAACTTTTTTGACTGCTTCTTTTTGACAAATGTTCCAAAGCGTACTTGTAGATGATACGCGCGCGAACGTGTTTTTGTTGATTTTTCTCGAACTTGGCAAAAGCCGGAAACAACTTCTCGTCCAGACCTTCGTCTTCGTAAAAAGTTCACCGCTTGTTCGTAAACGTCGCGCGCGCCTCTGATAAATTCGTACAGCTTCTTTGTACTTTATCCAATGCTTTATCGGGATGTACCATAATAAAGCGCTCGTAAATTTTTCGGGCGCGATCAATCTCTTTGTCGCAGCATAAACTTTATATTTGTCTGCCAGGCCGACCGGTTCGTCCGGTTCTCATTTCATTCATTGCTTGAATACTTGACGCGCACAGGCAAAGGTTTTCAGAGATTCTTGTACATGTACGTATATTTGTGCCGAAATTGATTTGCTCGTGGCAGCAACGTAATCGGACGATCCCACAAATTCCTGTCGTACTTGACCTGCTTGTTGCGCATCTCTATCTTTATGTATTTGAGACACACAAAGATATATTCCGATAATCTACCGTCAGCGCTAGCTCGTAAATAGATTTGGCTCGTTGAATCTGTTTCTGACTTTCTTCTCATTGTGCGTACTGTATCCAGTTAGAAATGATCATACGATTCTTGCGTCTGACATCTTTGAACGCTTTGCGATTCTAATGTTGATAATTAGCAAGTTTGTGAGAGTCCAAAATCTTCTGCTTTGAAGATAAGATCAGAATTTCCAAGTCACATTCTTTTGCTTTACGAAGCAGCAGAACGGCGGTGATCATTATTTCCGCGGGCGCCTAGTTTTTCATCTTTGCCACTTTGAGAGTCTTCTGTGATTTCTCCGTCTCTGTGTGAGAATTTCACAGTATATTTTGTTGCACTTAGTGTTGGTTTTTCTGAAATATGAAAAAATTAGAATCAATACTACTTTTGAATTGTTTTCTAGGTTAAAAAAATTCTATCCGCAATACGTACATGTCTCAATTAAAAAAATATCAAAATATCAAGATTTGATTTAACACCTCGGATTGATTTGTTCGATATTTAGTCAAAAGTTTGTAAAAAAATATCAACTTTCACAAAATTATAATTCAGAGATTTTTACAAAATATTAATGTTAAATAAGTTTTTAAATTATAAATCAACTTATTTTCTAATATCATTATCTTCTTTTTTAAAATCATTATCTTTCTACCATCAGTATTAAGTTTTACATCCCTAATAACAAGAATATTATCCAGCATACTACAAATTTGATTTATTATAGAAATTAATACTTTCATATTCATCAATTACATACTCAATACTTTAAGAACAAAAAATTACTTTTACTTATTTTGTACTACAAGTTCTAGCATTTTTAATTATATTGTTTGCCATAATTATTAACCCAGTAATTCTACATTCGAAACATTCAATATTAATATTATCTTTATTTTTTAAACGTGGAATCACTCCTTTCTATTTATGATTACCTTTTTTAAGCAAATTTATAACCTGGCANGAAATTGCACTTTTACTAACTTTTCAGAAATTGCATCCATTTAATATTTTTTATCTTACAGAGATTACAAGACCA